CCAGCTCAGGGCTTTCAGGTGCTGTGTTGAGGGCGAGCAGTGTGATGCACCAAAGCAGTTATCCTAAGAACTGCATGCCATTTCTGTAAGGAGTAAGAATGGTGTGCCATTTCTGCAAGGGATAAGAATCAATAAAACATTATGTACTGGTGTGTGGGGAAATCCCACTACTGTGTATCAAAGTTTTCCTGAAAGGGAAGACACAAGCTCCAGTTTTGGACCCAGTTCGTAGTTTGGATAAAGCCTGTGAGTTTCCTAGAAGCTCAGCTAGTGCTGCATTTCAGCAGGGTGGAGTTTGCAGCCTTTCTCCTGAACAGCAGAACAAGATCAAAGCCTTTAATTTTCATGACTTGCAATGTGCATTTTAATTATTTCTTTTCAATGGCCTGCAACACAAGAAGAGTTGTAGCATGAAGAGATCATGATATTCACAAGTAAATGAAATGAAAGCTTTGCTAGACCCATCTGTATCTCCTCTCCCAGCTCTATCTTTCCCCTGTGGCTTTCTGTGCAGCAGTTGGCAGTATGTGTGAATCCAGTAAAGCCTTGCAGAGCCAGGGGAAACCCAGGAGGCAATTAATTCATCTTGAAACAGCACAGCCTAAACAGTCACCAGTGACCTGGAGTGTCCGTACAGAGAGTTTAGGTAATTGTGCTGCCAACTTGCCATCAGGGTAGAGTTTTTATGAATAATTTTTTGCAGTGAGCAGCAAATATTGTCTTTAAATGTGTCAGCGAAGGAGCAATTGCATGGCTGTCAGCTGCAGCAAGCATTTCTGGTCTTGTAGGTGCTGCCCATCAGCCTTTGAGACCAATGCAGCTCTGGCAGAGGCCACTAGGTTGGATAAAAACCTCCAACCATGAACATGAGGACCAGAGGAAAGAAAGGAAGAGTAGAGGCTTGTTCGTCCCTGATAATCCACTCGGATGTGTGCAGCCTGGAGGTGTACAGCTGGGATGAAAAATAAGACCATATAACATGATTCAGCTGATCCCAAGCAAAGGTTAGGGGCGAGGAATTCCTACGTGAGCAGAGGGAAGCTTCTCAGGGAATTTCCCCTGGCTGCCTTTCAAAGTTCTGGCTGCTGCATCGTGACCTGTGAGGCATTTGTTTGGTTTGGCTTTTCTTTTCTTTTTCTTCCCCCCCCTCCTTTTTTTTTTTCCTTTCAGTTCTTGTCTGTTTTGTTTCTGGAAGAATGACATCCTGGCCCCTCACATTTCTGGAGGCAACACACACATTCCTTGCAGCTCTGTGTTACCAAGAGGACAGAAAATATTCTTCATAATTACACATGATTTGACCATTCCAGCATTTCCACCTCTTCCCAGAAGTTTTATTATCATAATTAATTTCTCTGGCATCTACTTACAGCTCTAGGCATTTTCCCAAACCTTTAAACACACAGTTAGCAGTTTTGAACATTTCACTACTGTATTTCTTTTCCTCAATTTGCTAGTTATAAATTCTTTGCTAGTAGACTTTCCTATAACATGAGCTTTATTGATGGTAGTCCCCATTGCTGTAGTATCACGACACTCTAACAAATCTCTGCTTCACCACAGCACTGTGATCAAAGAAAATGGCATTTTCTCTAGTTACAAATGGAAATCTGGGGTACAGTGGGACTAAGACTCATATTTTTAGGTATTTATTTGGTGACTTGCCCGAAGTATCACAGTGTGAGGAAAGAGAATTACACTCTGGTATCCCAACTCCAAGTCCCTACCTGCTGGGCCAGCTTGGTATTACTGTGTTTCAGTGCATTTCTATTTCATTTCAGAAAACATTCTGCAGTTTCCAGTCTATGTAGGACAAATCACTTTCTCAAATGGCTTTAAGGAAAGGTGAACCAAGAGGAAAGTGATTTTAGGAACCAAGGATTCCTCTTGGGAAATTATGTTCTACTACTTCTGGATATTGCATGTAAAAAGATCTTTTCCTCAAGAGAGATCTGAACTCTGATCTGAACCGTGGAGAATTAATCATATCATATCTATGTGTGATTGCACTTGTCCATAGTAAATTTCTTTGATCTCAGAGGGATGTAAGAGAGATGATCTCAAACAATGTTGGATTTTAATAGCCAACCCAGCTCACATTAAAAACATCAGTTTCAGCCTCCTGTTGATTTCTGTGAGAGTTAGTAGATTATTGAAATGAGAAACTCCAAGCACAACTCTGGGGTGATTCAGTGTAATCCATCAGTCACCACACAACAGGCAGAGCTGTACATTAGCCTGAACTTCTGCATGTCCCCTGGAACAGCCATGTACAGCAGAGGTGGAATTCATCCTACCTCTGCCATTACAAATTCATTGCATAGGCTGCCAAAGTCTCACAAATTCTCACTTTTCATCTATTTAAGCCCAACCCCATGTAATGCTCTCGACATGACTCACAAGACCCACAGGTATCCTCAGTCTGAATGCAAGCCACTCGTGTCTGGAATGGGAACAACAGTCCCAAAAGCAAAGCTGCTGATGGAGACACCAAAATCTTGTCAGACCAAAACTGAGCCAAAAGTCAGGTTTCAACCTATGCAGAACTTGGCCAAGCCTTACTATTAATTTGGCTTCCAACACAAGCAGCGCAACACTGTAATACAAAACTCCCTTGGTGGGTAAACCATTTTCCATGTACGCTTGAATTATAGCTGAGTAGGATTAGAAATGTCCTGGTGTGGGCAGCTTTCTCCAATGTCAGTGAGAGAGCAGGTTCTCCTGACTCAGCACCGTGAGTTCTGGGGTGGTTCAGTGTGAGAAGGTGCTGAGCAGCCTGGTGGGGTCTCCAGTCCTATAAGGCTGTGCTCCCAAAACTCTCACTGAAGTGATCACCAAGTCCATCACGCCTGGAAAGAGCAGCTTGCCAGGCTTAAACATGCTGACTAGTGGTACCCAACACTTCCTGAGGAATTTCACTTCATTGACTCCAAATATAGTTTTAGCAACTAACAGGACAAGGACTTAAAACAAACAAACAAACAAACAAACAAACAAACAAACAAAAGAATCAGCCTCAAAAGAGGAATAAAAAGGACTTTAAAGCATTTCACTTACATTAATTAAGCTATATGTCTGTGTCAGTCCGTGTCAGCCAACATATATTCAGCAATCCTTATCTCTGAAGCTGATAAAGGTCTAATTGCCTGAGAAATGTACAGCCCTTGGGACTGCAGTGGCAAAAGCAATTTCCTTCTGCACAATGGAACCTTAACGAAAGCCCCTCCTGCTTAATGAGAGCAGGAGAGATTAAGGGACAAAGGTAGGGATGTGGAGCTGGGCTGCAGCCAGACGGGGGGCTGCACGGCGTTGGTGGGGGCCAGAGGAGCCCCAGGCAAGGCAAGAGGTGTCTGTGCCATCCCTGCTGGTCTGGGGGACCCTGCCACATGCCCCAAACACAGGTGCCACCTTGGGGCAGCCTCCAGCATTCCTCGGTGCTGTCAGTCCTGCTGGGGGGCAACGAGGTCATTGCCAGCAAAGATGAACTCGGGCCCCACCGCTGCCTCCACTTGCCTGAACAAAATTTGGCCACTTGTTGCCAAGGCATTTGGGGATGAAAGTGCCGGGATTGAGGAGAGAAAAAGTGTTAGCAACAACAGCGTTTCTTTGTTTCAAGTATAAGAGTCAAATTTAATGCAGAATACAAAGCTGACCCTGGGGTGAAAGACATCACTGAGCGTCCTCAGAGGCCCTCCCACGCCTGAGCCCAACCCAGCAAATCTTTGATGCATTAGCATTTAAAAGTGAGACAGAGGGAAACTCCCTCCTCGAAAATTGATCTAGGGAGAGAATAAAACAGCAGAAACAGCAAAGGGTGCTTAATGTGGATTTTGCAGCAGATATTGATACTGGAAAATCTCTCCATTTCCTTTCTGGTTCAGAAATAAGATTTCATGGACACAGAGATAGTCCTGAAAGAGCTAACTAAGCATAAAGCTGAGTGAGAGGAATCACGTTTTGGGGCTGTTTGCAACAACATTTTCTCCTTCCCCCCCTTCCCCCACCCCCCAATTAAAAAAAGAGGAGTTAACACCTGGGCTTGCTTTGCTATGCCATTTTTCACCGTTTGCAGTTGTTCTCAGGGGAATCAAAGTGACAGATTTATGCAAAGTTGCAGTTTGGATCTTTTCTTGCCCTGGAGCAAGGCTTTTATCCGATGCTTTTCTCCCCCCTTCATGAGGGGATGGTGAAGAGGAGGAATGCATCTCACTTGGGAACGACAAAGAAAAGGACCTTTCACAGCTGTTTCCAGCAGCCAGGATATATTTAATCTGAACTAGAGATTAACATGCACCTCTGTGAAAGAGACATTTTCCTTCCCTCCGTGGTTGTTATCACCTGTGCAGCAGATGAGGCTTGGTGATGAACCTCAGCAGTGAACTTGTGGTGAGGGGATGGAGGGCTGCCATGGGAAGGCTGCAGGCAAGTGACTTAGTGCTCTTATTCACAGAAACTCCTGCAATGGATTGACCCTCCAAGAAATGTGGACAACTTCTTTGGGCTGTCTGCATTGTGAATGCCACTCTTAAGTGTTTCAGAACCTCAGGCTGTGCCTGTGCCCAGCTCCAGCTCCAGCAAGCCTCTGCACAGCAGGGTTTTTAGCAGGGTATCTGCAGAAAGCAGATCTTCTCTAACTATTGCACTGGAGATGAGATGAGCAGAGAAGGTGTTTCCTGGTGTCTCAGTGATACATGAACATGGATGCAAATGAGCAATGGTAAATCTTCAGGAGCACAAGAATGCCTGCTCTCTCCTAAACCTTCCTTCAGGGCGGTGAGCCATGAGCAGCAGTTTGGAATGTGCCCTCCTAGAGAGCAGTTATGTTTTATCTCCACTGCTCAGTGTGCAAATGCCATGAAATCCCCTCTCCTTGAATCTGTAGGTATTTGAGAGGCAAAACTTGAGACACAGAACTATTAACACTGGTATAGGCTTTCCTGTGATGCTTGTCTCCACATTATCTGAGTGCCACACGCACTTTAGTGGATGTAAAGTCACAATCCCTTTATGTAGTAAGGAGCTGGTACCTGTGTGACCTACCAGGCCTGGCATTTTTGTCCCCAAATCTTATTCTTCCAGTCAATCTCTGTCTCCATCCTTATGTTTCAGTCCAATATGAAAGTCTTGCCTCTACTCATAGGAACAGAGTCTTCTACACAACTAAAAAAAATAAATTACTCTTTAGACTGCCCTGGTGAAGAGACCATTGAAACCTTTTGTACAAAAATCTTACCCAAGACATGTAAAATGTGATATTTCAGCCTGAACACCTAATGCAATCCAAAGAGGAGCCAGGCAGCTTTGCTGACATGTGATAGAATACAGCAAATCATTTGCTTTGGCTGCTGCTGGACCTTGTAGCCTTCATTGGCTCCAACACCCCCTGCTTTGTACATGTGTCACCAACACCTCAAGTGGTAGCCAAGAGACAGCTGTCCTGGCTTGACATCTGACCTCGTGTGCTGCTGCTGTGTGTGCAAATGCACCGACCTGTGCACAGCAGTGAAGCAGTCGGGCTCTGCCACTGGGTCATCAGCAATGGCATGCATGAGTTTCACTTGGCAGAGACAGGTTCAGAGGTGGGTCTGTTCCCTCCTTGGCAGTGCTGATGCTGTGTGTGATAATCTCATTGCCAAGGAAGTCAGGAGCAGGACTAAATGACCAAGTTACCCACCAGCAGCACTGCCCTCATCGCTGGCCTTCAAGTGAATCCTTCATGAATGTTGGTGGCATTGCTAACCCAGCTCCTGAGAGAAGCAATTCCCCTGAGTCAGGAGGACAGTTGTCCTCAGCAACAAGCCAGCTGATTGACATGAGAAGAAGGAGCAACCTCTGATGTGGGAGCTGGATCAGAGCCCATTTCACTGCCTTGGCCATGTGCTTGGGTTAACTCACTGGGTTAAGAGTAGTTTTTTTATCCTTTGGCAAGGGTAATTTCTAAAATCCAAATAAACCTCCTGCACAACAGCAGGGGGGATGTGCTTTCACATCAGCTGCTCTGTGGATAGAGTGGCCGTGTCAAAGACCTGCAATACTCTGTTCTAGAGCATACCAGAGAAGAACAAGACCTACTTAAGGCAGAAAAATACAGAACCCCTATGCTAATGGAGGAGGGCCTTGACCCATTTTGTAAGGTTTGTTTAGATGGTTTGATGCCCTCTCAGTAGCTGCTTAAGAGAGAATCTTGCTGCCTGGTGGTTGGGGAATAGGCAGTTCGTGGGGAGTGGACACATCTCATGTGAGTGTTGCCGGATATTGGTGGGAAGGTTATGACCCTCCACTGTCAGGGACACAGCTTATAAGGCCACCCCAGACAAGAAAATCCACTTTTCTCCTTCTCTTGGTACTTCATTTGAAATGGCCCAGAAACAGAAGTAGGTGTGGGGATGCCCATGAGACAAAAGGCAGGGGCTGATGGTGGGGCCGTGGTGGGGCAAGCAGAGCAGCTCTGTGGCTTCAGGAAGGTCAGGAGCACAGGGAGCAGCTGAGAAGGAGGGCATGGCACTCAGGATAGGCCCAGCTTTCCGCAGGACAAGAGGCAATGCAAGCTGGCCAGCACGAGACTGCTGGGCAAAAGCTGGCGTTACAGAAGAGCTCCTGTGGGGACATGCAGGAGTCTCTGGTGGTGTTTGTACTGGACGCTTACAATCAGTGACCAAGGCAAAAAAAAAAAAAGGCCTAGGATTCTCATTGTTCCTTTTATCTTTTCTTGTCCCAGTTTCTCAAGTTGTACCATATACTGTTCAATTAGTTAATTCCTTCATTTGCTCCTTCTTTGCCTAAAATTTTTCTTGACAAGCTGCTTCCCTCACTACCCTTTCCTTCCTGTACTGAGTCTCTTCCTTCCACTTCCTCTGCCTTTTTCACAGTTTCTGACTTTCTCTTGGGCTCTGCATCCCTGCATCTGCCTCATACTCATGTTATTTCCTATCCCTTTATCTGTGGGACTTCATGGGGTGCAGGGGCATTTCTAACCCCTGTAGGACTCTACAGTAATCTCCCACTCAGGAATCTGTGCTGCCTTGCCCCTCTTTCCCACAAGTCTCCCCCTCCAGGTGTGCATACACATCTGTACACAAGGCATACATACCCCCAGAGCCAGGAGATTGAAGTCAAACACAGTTCAAGGAAATGCCAGCTTCAGTGGGATTCCCCCTTCCAAATCCAGAGCTCCTTGGGTGTTGCATGAGACATGGATGGCACACAGTTGTTTTCCTTACCACATCCCTGGAAAACAAAATCAGGTACTTCATTGATTAATGCAGCTCGAGAGAAGAGAATGATGCTGAAAATTAAGCATCTCTTGGTTTGTAATGAAAAATATTTTAAGTAAAAATGCTTTAAATTACATAAAGGTGTTTTGTAAGAGAACTGTCATATACCATAAGACAACTTCACGGGAAAAAACATCTGTAATGAGAAACAAATCACACTGACCTTTGCTATAGGGCTTGAAAGCAGGGTTCTTTGGGATTGTGGAGACTCATTTGCCCTCCAGCAGTGGAAGAATTAAGATGTTATGTTTAACATAAACAAGAGAGGTTTAATCCCAAATCCTTGTGTGAGAGCACTTTGTGTTCTCTTGAAAGTTCAGTAATTCCATAAGCAAGATGGACAGTTGGGTTATTTTAGTCTCAATAAAAGCAGGGGAGGGACAGAAAGGATGTCAAAGGGAATTAACTCATCAGAGTAAGAACCCAGTTGTGAAAACTGAGCAGAGTGTGAGTTCAATTACATTAACTATACATGGTGCCAAGGTCTCTCGTTATAAGATGCCCTTTTCCCCTTTTTGTTCTATCCAGGCAAACTGCAAGAAGAAAGGTTCATCTGCATGGGATCATCCCGAGTCAGGGCTGAGCAGCCTCCTGGACACATGTGCCCATTGCTGTTGGGTCAGTAATAGCATGAGAGTCATGATTCTCATTACCTTGTGGAATCCACACAAGATCCTCTGAGATCAGATGCTTGTTTCTCAGTGATGAAGGAAAGGTAAGGTGGTTTCTGCAGACTGAAAGGCCACACAAGTCTGTGTTGACTCTGGTGACCCGTCTCTTCTGAATGTACCTGCACATCATCTCTGCACCAGCAAAGACAGAGTAGCTTTTGTTTGGGAGCATCTTGACCCTTTTGAAAGTCAACCCCTTCCACAGCTCAGAGTTGTCCTGCCTCTCTTCTGTTGGGGCACAGAGGAGAGGCAGCCCAGGCAATTTGTTGCCATTCAGCAACACTAAATTAATTTCAGAAGAAGACCGTGTCAAACATGTCTTCTGTGTCAAACATGCCAAATGTGACTCAAAAGTTCAACTCTTTGAAACCATAGGAGAGATAGGATATAAATCCAGAAAACTTGAGATATTAAAGCAAAACCAAAACATTTCACATCTCCATCCTTTTGTTCAGACAAGAAGTCAACGTCCTACGATATCACTGTTGGATTAGGACTTAAACACGTGGCATCACTTTCTTCCTCACTCCCCTGTGATCCTGCAGCTGAAGAGACCAGTGTGAGTAACTGGGTGCTGGAGGGATTATTGCTCTGGCCTGAAATCAGGCCAGAATTGCATTCACTTGGTGGAGTTAGGACTGAAGTGCAAATTGTACTTCGCTAGTACGATTTTTCTTCAGGAGTGACCAATGAAAATTGCTCCATACTTCTGTAAGGCTGACCAGTAGGAAAAATGTGGTTCTTGGAAAAGGGAGCAGAAAACCAAACAGAAGTGGTGGTGTTGCCCATTCCCTGGCTCTTTGGAGACCAGGCTCTATGATCCTGAGTTCAACTCTGGTGTCTGCAGAAGAAAAGGTTGCTGAAAATCTGGGGCAATCAAACTACAACAATGACTGATAGTCTGGTCATCCTGCCACCAAGTGAAAGAAACTGTATTCAGTTTATTCAAGGGGATATCTGATTATTGGATTATAAATGTCAAAACTGGGTGAGAATTTCTAATAAAAGGGTTCTTTTTTCACATAGCAGACAACAGTGCAAAATGAACCCATGGCTGGAGGCTGAAGCCAGGCAGATCCAGATTGGGATGAAGCATAAGATTTCAGTATTGAAACAACTGATTGAGGGATGATCTAAGTTCTCCACCACCTGAGATTTTAAAGTGAGAGTTGTGTGTCTTTCTTCCACTCTCTTGTTCTAAGTTCAGTTATGATCATGACACAGGAGTCCCTGGGTAGCATCATCTAGCCAGAGTGGTCAGATTAGACTTTTCTAACAGCCCCTCTGCCTTTAAAATCTCTGATGTTTAAGAAGTGCATTTACCTGAACCAGAGTTCACCCCAGGGACAGGGGAATTGAGACATCTTTATTCATTTCTCCCCAGCTGTGGGAATGATCTGTTTAGATATTTTTCCCATCGTCAGTTGTGTCAGTGGTATGTGTTATGCAGATGTGTGTCCACTGGGAGCTGCGCTCAGACAGCACAGTTCACATTGATTTATGAACAGACTCATGAGCGCAGCAACTTTTGGCCTCTGCTGGCTTGGGCTGGAATCAGCTTGCATGTTGTTGCTATTCTTTATTCTTGGACCTGCAGCCATGGCTCATGAACCAGATGCTGCAGAAATGCAGAGCTGAGGAGGTCCTTGCCTCAGAGCTCTTCAGAAAGAGCCTGGCATGAAGCAAGGGGTGGATGTTGGTTGCCAAGGGAGTCCAGGGAAAAGATGGGTGGTAAACACGATCAGTCATGATGAGCTGTAAAAGCAGTGGATGTGGTAACAAGTTGGGTAGGCACTGGTGGACCAAGGCTGGGTTTGTCCAGAAAAAGTTGCTGCAGGACTCAAGCCATGAGAGGCAAGAGCATTTTTGTTGTGTAAGTGATAGGAAAGGCACATGTGGGAGAAGCTACAGAGAAAGTGTCTAGGCAACTTTGAGAACAGAGAGGAAAGTCTAAGGTGAGGATGACATCCAGGTTGTAAGTCCAAGTGATGGATAAGAGGAGGTGATAGTGCCAATGATTACGAAAGGGATAAAGGGTCACTTGGAATGAGAAAAACAGTTCACCTTCAGCCATGATGGGTCAGATGTCCCCAGATGTCAGGGAGCCAGGGTAAGATAGGAGTTTTGGTAGGAGACAGTTAACAGGACAGAGGTCCAGAATCAAAGGAAACTGCATTTGAATTGTTGAGATTCGTCACAGATCAAGGAAAAGGAAAAGGAGAGCAGGACCCTGTGGCCACAGTGATGGCAGGATGAAGAAGGGATATTGGCTTCAAACCGAAAGAGAGTAGGTTTAGATTAGATGTTAGGAAGCAATTTTCTACTCTCAGGGTGATGAGGCACTGGGGAAGGTTGCCCAGAGAAGTGGTGGATATCTCCTGCCTGGAAGTGTTCGAGGCTGGATTGGATGGGGCTTTGAGTACCCTGGTCTAGTGGAAAGTGTCCCTGTCCATGGCAGGGGGTTGGAACTTGATGATCTTTAAGGTGCCTTCCAACCCAAACCATTCTGTGATTCTTTGAAGATGGACAGGGAAAAGGGAAAAGGCCAGAGGGGGGCAAGAAAGGACATAAAGATAGAATGAAAGTGTAGGCAAAGATCCCCATCTATACCAACTCTTTGATCCTTCTACTCACTTTTTCATTCAAATTCTAAGTGGTATTACAGAAAGTCTTTTTACTGCTGTACATAAAGTAAATCTTTCCAAACTCTTTAAGACAGCAGTATTCCCAGCTGATCCCCAAAGACAGATCTTGTTTCTTCATGATCATAATTACTTCAAAAGAAAAAGATAGAAAGAACTATGGCCAGGGAATGTGATTTTTTTTTTTAAATAGGAATCACCCAGCCCAGCCATTGGTACAAAAATAGTTAAATATGATAGACCAAATATCAAACTATGACAAGAATGACTCGAATTAGAGAGGCATAGATAGGAGAAGCTAACAAAAACATCTCTTCCTGTGGGGACACTAACACAGCCAAATATTCATCTTTGTAGGTCACCCAGTTTAAAGAGGGATGGGCAGGGGGAAAGAAATCTGGGTTTGATATTTTGTACCCTGGACTACAAAGGAATAACTGCGAATATATAAATAAAAGACAGCTGGGCTGAGGTTTCAGATCACCTACACCCATCAGAAGGGCAGCCAGACGTCGAGCACAGTGCTCTCCTGTTTGATACCTGGCCTAATGCTCAACTCTGTCAATACTTTAAAGGCAAAGAGAGAGACAGAGCAGAGATATGTTTTATTAAAAGGCTTAAATCATGTGCATTGCCACAGAAACAACCAAGAAAATTACATAGCCCAGAGGGAGAAACCTTTGGTTTAAATATCTATAAAGATGTTGTGGCCTAAAAGGAAGAGCTCCTGCCTGGGAAAACCATGAGCCTGTCATAAAGCCTACAAGACTACCTTGGAAGGAAGTGAATGAATGACTGTGGCACATGGATGAGTGGCTGAAAGTGCAGCCTGAGCAGTAATCGGCTCTATTGCTGCTCCTCTGATTAGCTGGTTTTGGCTACAGCACTCATCAGACCCACACTGAGTTCACAGCACAAAAGTATTCACACTGCACTGAAGAACATCTCGGATCAGCCAGTGGATCCCTACAGAGAAACAGCAAACACAGATCTGAAGGATGTGGTCTCCAGAGAGGGTTTCCAAATCTTTACTTCATGTCACTAATTCCTTATCCAGAACTGGAAAAGAAAGGACTCCTGGAATGGATTGCTGTTACTTTTCACTACCTCAGAAATGAAGGAAGAGATGAGAAAAATTGATGATTCTTCTGTGGAGAGAAATTTAAAAGCTAAGTCACATTAATCACTGTGATCTGAATGTAGATAGTTCAAATTCTTTACCAAAATACTGAAAGTTGCTAATGAATTCAAACAACAAAGGGATCAGCTTGTTGGGATGGGATGGGATGGGCAGGTTACACACTGCTGAATCTCCAGAGAGACTCCTAACAGGGAGAGGTCTCAGTTGAGGACATCTCACAGAGGGCACAGAAGAGCATAAGTCACTCCAAGCCCTTACAGTGACAGTGGGCACAGCACCAGCAAAGACAAATGGAAGAGAACAAGGAAATCAGGTATATTCAAGTGAGAGTTATTTTTATGTGCAGACCTGCACACCTACTGTGTCTAGTCCAGAGTTATGGCTAAGACCTCCTTTTGGCTCATCCGGCTCATTCAGCTCTGAACTCAGCTCTGTGGAGTCCTGCTGTATCCTCAAAATGCCAACACAACTCAGCAGAATGATAGAGAAATTCCACAGAACATTAATTATTTGCTTCCACACTGTGGTAATCACCTCCAAAAAGCAAACTGGAGAGGATCAGCCAGCACCAGCATATGCCAGCAGATGCTGTTGTGTTTTCTGAGCTGGCCCACTGATTCAAACACTCTGATCAAATATAAGCAGTTTAGACTATTAATAGTAGCATAAAGGAAAGGCATCTCTATTTTGCTTGTGAGCTGCCTGTGTCCCTCCCTTTCTCACTCTGTCCTCCTTCCCAGCTGTTATGTGGTGGCTAAATTAAATATGAGGAACAGCAGAACAGGTCACAGCTTACATCAGATATTTCCAAAGTGATTTGAGGACAATTGACCGTTATGTACTTGCAACACACAGTAAGCAGAGATGAAGGTCCGTAAGACACCAATCTTGTATGTATACACAGAAAAAATAGCAATTGCGTTTCAGACAAGCTAAGAATTTGGCTCCCCAGACAGAACCGACCAACCTATGGTTACAAACACCTCATTTGCTTTTTGGGGGCTCTACCTCCACAGGAGTGGCACCGAAGCAGTAACACACCTCGATGTTGTTGCCCACACTCAACACAAGATTCTTGTTGCTGAAGCTGCCAGGCTCTGACACCAGTCACATACCTTGGAGAGACATGGAAAGACCACCTTGGATGGGTTGAATATCTCTCCCATCTCTTTTTCTTCACATGACCCCTATGTCTTTGCCAACATCTTGAAGGACTCAATAGAAACATGAGGTTCATACAGGATTGCACAAAATGCCCCCAGAATTGCCCCATCTTTGTCTGAAGTCAGCATCCACCTCAATTCTTTGTATTTCTTTATATTCCTTATTTACATATCTAAAAACTGTTGAATGAGGCTCTGAAACCTTCTCTACCACATTTTAGTCCCTTCAGGTCCCAAAGGAAAAAGCAGTTTTTCCTAGTGGTTAACATTAAGGAAATTTGAGCTGGTTGGTCTGTTGGAAATTCCCTTCAGAATTGTCTTTTAAGCTTTTTTCCTGAAAGTTGGAAGCAATTTGTTGATCTTCAAGAAGCAGATTATAGAAAAAAAAAAGAGTTAGAAAAGCTCTATCATTCTGAGATTTTTGTTAGGAAAAAAAAGTCAAAATCTGTTTCTGTTTTAGCAAGAACCAACTTTGCTGTTCTTGCATAAAGCTATGATGAAGTACATTGTAGGATCAAGACATCATGGAATATGAATACTACTTTGTTAAACTCTTCAGCACACAGCTGAGTCTGATGAAACTACTCCAGAGGGAGACACTTGTCACTGAAGACATTTTGTCTCACTGTTACGAAGTTGGCTCAGCAATATTTGACTGATGACTCATTATTTTGCACATTATTTCGAACCTTGGTCATGCACAAGGACCCCCATAGCAGGCATAGCATGAACATGGAACAAAGAGGCACCTTCTGCTCCCAAGAACTCCTAGTCCTTGTAGAGGACTGGAGGGGCAGATGGAGACAGACAGAGAGTGAGATTAAAGGGACCAGACAGGACATGCTGTCAAACTTTGAGTAACCATCACAGCTAGGGAGAGATCTAACTGGGACTATGAGTCTATGATATTCATATAAAAAAAAACAAAAAGAAAGCTCCAAAAGATTTTAAGCATCCCGTGCCAATTCCACACTATTATTCTGAGTGAGATCAAATGTGGGAAAAGGAGAATACTGAAATAGAAAGAGGCTCTTTGGGGCTGTGAATGTTGCAGTGCCCCCAGGGATCCTTGGGAGAAGTTCATATGTGGGGAGAGGATCAGACTTTGAGCCATCAGCCAGAAATCCGGAGAAGCTGAAGCTGCCTCAGACAGTTCTAGGAGGAAACAGTGGGAAGTGAAAATATATCGAGACCTGACTTTTCACTTTTACCTTGCTCACCAGATGTATTTTGGAAAATGATTGGAGGAAGAGCTGTTCTCCCAAAAGCCCTGGGTGTCACCAGTGCCCACCCCGGGGCCAGGGGATCCCTGGCAGCAGCTGCTCTCACGTGGAGTGTGCCTGCCCTTCGCATCTCTGCTCTTTTATATCTCGTCTCTTGGCACTCTCCGTCCCGTCCACCTCTTCCCTTTGCATTCCTCCTCTTTGCAACTCTGCCTTTGCATCCCTCCCCTTTGTATCCCTCCCTTTTCACCTCCCCCTTTGCACCTCTCTCACTTACATCCCTCCCCTTTGCCTCTCTGCCCCCTTCGCATCTCTGCCTTTTCCCATCCCTCCCCTTTGCATCTCTGCCCCTCGCATCTCTGCCCCTGCACACCCCCTGTCCCTCGACTCTCTGCATCTTCGCCCCTTTGCACCCCTGCCTGCTCGGACCTCAGCCCTTCGGGCATCTGTCCCTTGCACCCTCCACTCCTCCCTCCCGCCCCTTTGCATCCCCACCCTTTCGCTCCCCTGCCCGTTCGCATCTCCGCCTCGCTGCCTCCCTTCCCTCTCCCCCCGGCACCTCTTGCACCTCTCCCGCAGCCCCGGTCGCCCGCAGCCCCGGGGCAGTTCCGGCAGCGCCTCCGGGCCGCTCCAGCCCCCCTGACCCCCGTTCCCCTGCCCTGCCCGCCCGGCCCGGAGGCCCCGCGATGCCGCCCCCGCCGCGGCTGCTGCCGCTGCTGGCGCTGGTGTTGGGCTGGGGTCCGGGGGTCCGGGGGTGCCGGGGGGGGCTGCCAGCTGCCCCGCGGAGTGGCGGGCCGCTCAGCGAGGTGCTGCCGGGCCGAGCTGGCCGCGATCATCGTCTACGCGCGGGTGCTGGCGCTGCACCCCGACCCCTACGGCGCCTACAACTACCTGCCCTGGCAGAGGGACCCCCCCGGCGGCCCCCAGCAGGGAGCGGGGGGCCTCTTTTACTCGGCCGAGATCGAGCTGCTGTGCGACCAGGCGTGGGGCAGCATGCTGGAGGTGCCCGCCGGCTCCCGCCTCAACCTCACCGGCCTCGGCTACTTCTCCTGCCACTCGCACACCGTCATGCAGGGCTACGCTTATTTCTTCTTCCTCCGGTGAGTCCCGGGATAGGGGTGTGCGGGGAAGGGGGTGGGATGCCGTGTCCCGGCTCCAGGGCATCTCCCCGGGCGGGGGGATGCGCGCCCGCCCCTGCCCGGAGGGTTCTCTCCGCCCCGCTGCCGCTCTCCTCGCAGCGCCTTCTGCTTTGCCTTCCACCTACAGTTTCATCGGAAAAAAAAAACAAAACTCCGAAACTCCAAAAGCCCATAATATTCCAGTATTGCCGGGCAGCAGATGCACGGGGAGCTGCTGTTGAGTAGCTCCTGGATGCTGCTGCTTTTGTTTTTACGGCGGGACGGTCACGGAGCTGGAGAGAGGCCAGCTCTGAAGTTTGGCATAGGAGTTTAAAACCCATCCCCAAATACTCACCCGATAGCTTTCCATCGACTCTCCCGAGTCCCAGCCAAACCCTGACTTTGGGCTCATCGAAAGACTAAGAAAATAAACCACAATGTTGGAACAGAGCCATCACCATGACCTTTCAATCCAAGAGCGTTTGCGAAATACTACTCAGTGGCTTGTTTGAAATACTTGGTCTATTCTTACACTGGGTGCGTAATGAAACTCATTTTGATGCTGTCTAGGGCTTAGTCTGTAGTAATATCTTTAAACACATTTTACAGAAGTTATTTATTGACTGTTTGAAGGAGTACTTAAACTCTGGGATCGAGGGCAAAGCGATGCAAATTCAGTAGGAGCTATGGCTCAAAATACAGATTTGCCTCCTTTATGGGGTTTCACTGGTGTCTGCAGGGTTGTAGGAGCCTATTAGTTCATTACTGCTGCTGCCTGATCCAGTTCCCATGGTGGAAATTGCCATCTTGGAGACTTAAGTGCCAGGAGACCTGAGCTGACTTGTCAGCTAAAAGTCTGTGTGACTTCAGTTGCACTTGTTAAGCCAGGCTGAAGTATGATGGGTGACTTCTACAGGAGAGAAAGTGCTGTTCATTCTCACAGTGCGATTTGTGTTTCAGAATGGATGAGAACTACATCCTCCTGCCTCATGGAGTCAACTTCCAGGAGGCGATTTTCCCCGATACCCAGGAGAACAGAAGGATGTTTGCCAGCCTTTTCCAGTTTTCGAACTGCTCACAGGCACAGCATGTGCTGAGCTTCTCCAGTGACTGGGAGATTCAAGAGGACAACCGGGTAAGGGATTTATTTGCTCTCCAATGCTTGTTTTCTAAGTGGGCCACAGGCATTCCCATGTCTTTTGTGAACATATATATACAAATGTAGAGCACCAGGTCCCTGATTTTCCTTTTCCTTGGGTGGTGGTATCACTGGCAAAGTAGCGCATTGGTGGGAAGATATTAAACTCTGTTTTCAAAGTTGAGCCTCTGTGTTAGCTCTTTAGCTTCCTATGGACCTGTGCAAAGCTTGGTATCAACTTGGTATCATGAACAATAGGTTAAAAACCAGTATTGCTTGCAACTCTGTCCTACTCCACCCAGATCATTCCTGAGTTTGCTATCTCTAGACCCCATTCTTTAACTTCAGCTAAAATGTTCAAGAGCAGAGCTTTGCTTTTGTACTTCTGTGTTCATCTCATGTAGTGAGAGCAGTGCCTGGACCACAACAGACTGTAAGGGATTATTCTTGCCTGACTCCACATAACAGCATAAACATCTACTGAACTAATCGCCCTAAGCTGCCTTTGTAGCTGCTGGGGGAGAAGAGACTCTCAAGGGCACGTTTCATCTGAGCCATGAGGGCATGGTTCGTCTGAGCAATGCCAACACTTACTTCTGAACAAGCTGAAAGAAATGTCTCTTTCTCCTTTCAAGGGAGGCCACAGCAAGTAGTTCACCCACTAGGCAATCCTCCCTTAAGAAAGTACAGAAAGTCCAACGATGCCCACTGTTAGTGGCTTCTGAGCCCCTTTTATAGGACTGTAGTGTGTGTAATAAATGCAGGATTTTAATAAATACTTATTTGGCAGAGAGCAGCAACCTGTTGTTATGTGCGTGCATGTTCTGGATGTGCATGTACTTTTGAAGAAGTGGAACTTGGGGAGCTGGTTTAGTGCCAAACCTTGTTTTGTGAGGCGTGTGGTTTCCCCTGGTAGCTGAGAACATTATAAGCATCTCTTCAGGTCAGGATGGACAGGACAGGTGTCATCACTTGTGTCTTCCGTGGCTTCACCCAGGGCACGATGTTTATGTATGGCAGCAGATGCACAAGTGGCTTGTTTGGGAGATGGATGGAGGGAGTTCAGTAGCTGTCGGAGCCCTTTCCTTTCACCAGCTGGCTGAATGCCAGCATACAAAGTTTGAGCTGCTGCGTGGCCATCTGGCTGGTGACACAGCCCCTCTCCTTGGGATGCCCCGTGAGTGAGTGTTTTCTCACTGCTGATATTCTGGGGAGGGAGTGGGAAATGGTGCCGTTCAAATATATATTTGGGGACAGCAGCAAGAATTGATGTTTAAGAGAAAATGAATCATCTTACAATTAGATTACAGAGCTGTAACCCTGGTTAGGCAAGAAGGGGGAGGTAGAGAGCTCTGGTCCCAGCTCTGCCTCCTCTGTGCCAGCCCCCAGGCTCCCCAGTGCCCCAAGAAACAGATTTGGCAAGTAAAAGTGCTGCTGCTGCCAAATCCATGGATTTTTCTCCAGGGGAGCAAAATGGCATTGAGGGACCACCAGATCCAACTGCCAGTGCCTGACTGTGATGCCTCTGCACTGTTTATTTAGTCATGCTGAGCTCATTGTAGGGGACCTTGATGGGTTGGTGCTCCTTTATGCCAGCAGTGACTCTTGCCAGTCAGATTTAATGGAAATCACAAGGCAGAACCCCCCAGGGTAAGTTGGGGCAACTCTGAGCACATGTATCAAAAGTGCATTTCAGCTGTTGCTCTCTTTGACCCTGCAGCTGTGACCAGACCAGGGGGTCAGCTGCTGGCCCTATAGACTGGGGCCGGGGGCTTTGGATGCTTCAACACCCACCCGTCCAGGGAACAAATTCAGCGCAACTGATGGACACTTTGTCTCCCCTTCGTAATGAAAAGTAAAAGCTTCCTCTGCACCAGTTAAAAATAGTTCAGGCTGACTGTGCTCCCATTCAGCTCCTGCATCTGTGTTTGCCCAGCCGAGCGCCGGCTCCTCGAGCCTGCGTGCCCCAGCCTGGGAAGGGGATGACATTTCTGGCTTCTATGATATTAGGAATTTGTTCCCCGGATCTTCTCAATGCAGGTGTCTGTGTCCAGGGTGCATCTCTCTTTAGTGTTTTGCTTCTCTCTCTGCCTTGTTACATCCAGAGGTGGCTTTCCCAATTGGCACCGTGTCTACTCACATCCCGTCACAGTGTAAACAATTTCCATTTCCAAGTGTGCTCAGCTGAGCTGCCCCGTGGTGGCTCCTAAGATGAAATCTGTGGCATGTGCTAGCTTCATGGCACAGAAAGTGAGCATAACTCAGAGCATTATTCTCTAAGTGTTTTGAAAAGGAGGCTCTTTGGGAGCCTGGGGACATCCAAAGAGGGGTTCTGTGATGGTGTCAAGTTATGGAGAGCTTGGACAGAGAGAGAAGGGTCTTCCGATGAGGCTCACACTGCAGTGAGGAGTCAGGGGCCTCACCAGCTGTGGTGTACTGACAAAAACTGTGAGTTAAAATACATCATGAATGTTTTGTGCAGTCAGAGAGAAAGCAATGGAAATGTTGAGATCCTCAGAGAAGAAGGCAGCTGAGATGAAGGTCTCATTCCAGGAGTTAATAGGTAGGGTCCTGTCTGTGGATCTTGGAACAGCTGCATGCAGGGGCACCTTAAAAAGCAACTCTGTCAAAAACCATTGGGCCTGAGTAGGTCTGGATGAAATCTCCTGTTTACAGCTGGATCTCATACTCTGAAAGACTTTTTGAATCCCTGTATTTGCTTATGGCCCTGTGCCCTGGCCTTGATATATTTCTGGGGTGGTCATTTCAAAGGAGACTTCAGCTCTGTGCAGTTGCAATGAATAATTCATGTTGGTAGCTCTGGGGTGCTCAGCCAGAATGTGAGAGAGCCCTATGATGGATGAGTGTCTTTGCCTCATGTAATGCTGCTCCCAGCAAAAGGTACCTTCTGCAGGATGTTCCTCAGCTGGCCACAGAGCAGGTGACCCAAAGGTGACCACTGACATGTTGTCTTCCTGTTTGTCCTCTTCTCTCTGCAGTGCTCCTTGTTGCAGTGAGCCTTGTCTGGGCTTTCCCAATGGGTAAAACAAGGAAAATCCTGACAGCTCTTTTTCCTCCTTCCAGCAAATGTGTCTGATGATGCAAAATAGAACAAAGAGATGTGCAGGAACTTTTTGATACACTGGGATATGCCACCTGCCTTCTCCCTCACAGGCAAACCTTTACAGTTTTCAGAAAGCCCAAGGCATGTGGTGAAAGGAGGCCAGACCCAAGGCACATCTCACTGGGGATAATACATTCCTCATCCTGAGCCTGCTGCTCTTGCTGGAAGCTAATCACAGCTGCCTTTTTAAGCCCCTTACAGTCTGGGCTGAGGGCCAGATGCTGCTTTCCACAGTCTTCCAATAACCCCACAATCTCATAAATTCACTCAGGTGCTTGTTATGGCCACTCCAGAGAGCAATGATAGCTCCTGCTGTCACTTCTTTTGACACTTGCATTTTGGCTTTGGCGTTTGCAGAGGCAATAATTAATTGAGCTCCATCTTGACTTTTATCTCAGCTCCTTAGAGATCTTTGCAGACCTCCTGCTTTACTCCATCTCATTGCTGCAGTGATTTCCACAAGATTGTTGCTAAAACATGAAGGTCCAACCAGGCTTGGGGTTGGAGCTGAGTTTGTAATGAGTGGCTGCAACTTCTTGCAGAGTGAGGGGCTCCTTTTTGCAGCACATTGCAAGTATCTGGGGCCCAGGTTTGGTCCAGTCCCAGAGCTGATGTTCATGGAGGTGATAACACAGGAACACCCTTTTTATTCTCTTTCAGGATTACAGTTTTAGATGACTTTTCCCACCCTCTGCCTCTGGGAGAAATGCATTATTCACCTATCCAGGGAACCTTGCAGACAGCAGTTTTTATTAAGGTGCTTTTATTAAAGAAAGAAACAATTAAGCAGCAATACAAACCTAACTAAAATTCTTAGAAGTTCCATGTTTTAGCCCACATCTCATGTCAATCCCTGAGGGAAGACCTGCAGATGTATCAGTGGCCCTGCCAGGCTTTCCTGTGCCTCCCAGCATGCAGATTCCTGCCCCAGGAAACCACTAGACATCCCTTTATGTTTTCCCCCTTGATTCCCTCAGTGTTCCTAAAATTTCCCTCAAGCCCCTGCATGCCACCCAGTTATTCTTTTGAGCAGCTGTTAGTGCTGATGTTTCATTGCTGGTACTTTTAGGGAGCAGCCTTGTGACCTTTTCTTGCTCAAAAGGATTTTTATCAGTGGTGCAGGGATGGAGGGGGGTAATGGGAAAGTCCCAAAGGCCCAGGT